CAGGGCGAAACCAGGCTTCATCTATGGTGAGGATGCAGAGTGATTGATCTCTGGATGATTATGTTCATAATTCTGTGATGCAAGCATTTGCAGAGAGGCTGTGTGGGGTCTGCATAAGAATGCAAGTAAACAAAAGAGATATCTACAGACAGTTGACTTTTCTTTCTTATCAATCTCCTTTTTTCTTTCTTCTTTTGTTTGACTCACTTTTATTACTAGGAGCAAAAAGTGAGCAGATCAGAATTTTATTTCCTTTCATAGTTCATAAACATGATAGACATCTCTAAATAGTTGGGAAATTTTCCATTTTAACAGGGAATCTTGTGTTGAACACAAGAATCTTCAAGAATCTTCTATTTCTTTTTTTTTTTTTTTGGATGGGGGCGGGGGCAGAGGGCAAGGGAGAGAGAGAATCTTAAACAGGCTCCATGCCCAGTGTGGAGCATGGAGCCTGACACGGGACTTGATCTCACGACCTGAGATCATGACCTGAGCCAAATCAAGAATTGGACGCTTAATCGACTGAGCCACCCAGGTGCCCCATGAATCTTCCATTTAGCTATATTATTATTTAATTTCAACTGGTCTTTTCATCCAGAAGACACTGTTGAGGGATCCATATTGTGTTGTGTGTGACAGTGCAAGTTAGCACAGACCAGGCATTCTAACAGTATCCAGCCCTGTTCTTTTTTTTTTTTTTAAAGATTTTATTTATTTATTTGACAGAGAGAGACACAGCGAGAGAGGGAACACAAGCAGGGGGAGTGGGAGAGGGAGAAGCAGGCTTCCCGCCAAGCAGGGAGCCTGATGCGGGGCTCAATCCTAGGACCCCGGGATCATGACCTGAGCCGAAGGCAGACGCTTAACGACTGAGCCACCCAGGCGCCCCTCCAGCCCTGTTCTAAGAGCCTTGTCTGTGTGACCTCATGTAATCTATACCCACATCCAGTCACACAGACATTGTTAGTTTCCTGTTCTTTTGGTGAGGAAACTGAGGCACAAATAAATCAAACAACTAGCTCTTGGTCACACAGGCAGGGAGTGGAATGCGAACCTCAGCAAGCAGACTCCAAAGCCTTTTCCTTCACTCAGCTATCCTTCCAAAGGCTACAAATATAAATATCTACACCAAACAGCACTTTATGACACCCACCGGAGGAGTGGTTTTTCAGAAGTAGAGAAGGCATGGCTGACTTCCTGGTGTCTGACCTGGCCTCAAAAAAGATTGAAAGATGGAGAACTAATGAATGTTGAACTTAACTGTTGGACAACGGGGACCCGCTAGAGCATTAGAGATTTTGCAGCAAAGAAGGAAAACTATCACGGTGTTGCTTTAGGGGGGAGACAATTTGGCAGCCCCGTGAGAGATGGTTTCATCGGGGAGAATTAGGCCACGGGAGCTAGGATGCTAGGACCAAGGTGAAAGACTTTAGGACAAAGCTTGCGATTGTGTAGGTATACAGGACTTGGACTTCAAACAATATAATTTCAGGAGACATGGAGAAGATAAAAAAGATAAATCGTAATACTTTCCCTTTTTCTCAGCTTTCTTTCCTGACCACAAGTACACTTAATTTTTCTGTTGTGTTTCCCTGTGAGAATTTCCCAGGGCAGCAAAACAGTCATGTTTGCCTTTGATATCTGAGTGCTAATCAGATGTTTTATGGTGGTGTTCTGCTATTTATGACTTGAAAGGTAACCATATGGGACAAACGGAAGCCTGATCCTCAGTCTATGCTCTTGTTTGTGGGAGATCCAGGATGGTAGCTTCAGTGGCTTCTGTGACGTTTGAGGCCCTCTGGATATTTAAACACGAGCAAAGCCTTTTGGAGGCCTGGATAACGTTGATTAGGCTCCAGATAAATGACAGGGAATGACGCAGTCTCCTATGGAATTACATAACAGGGTAGGATGAATCTTAAGCTCTTTACCTTTCTGCCCTTTATATTAGAGGGTTGCCCTTTTGAAGAAAGTTCTGATGCCTTCATATCCTTCAGGGCTTTACATTTAGATTTGGCTCAGGTCATGATCTCAGGTCGTGAGATCAAGTCCCGTGTCAGGCTCCACACTCCACACTGGGCATGGAACCAAATCAAGAATTGGACGCTTAATCGACTGAGCCACCCAGGTGCCCCATGAATCTTCCATTTAGCTATATTATTATTTAATTTCAAGTGGTCTTTTCATCCAGAAGACACTGTTGAGTGATCCATACTGTGTTGTGTGTGACAGTGCAAGTTAGCACAGACCAGGCATTCTAACAGTATCCAGCCCTGTTCTTTTTTTTTTTAAAAGATTTTATTTATTTATTTGACAGAGAGAGACATAGCGAGAGAGGGAACACAAGCAGGGGGAGTGGGAGAGGGAGAAGCAGGCTTCCCGCGGAGCAGGGAGCCCGATGCAGGGCTCGATCCCAGGACCCTGGGATCATGACCTGAGCCGAAGGCAGAGGCTTAACCGACTGAGCCACCCACACGCCCCGCTCTTGCTTGGAGTTTTTGCTGGTAATCCTCACCAGGACTTGTTGTAGTATGTGGTTCTTTGTGTTTTTTTTTGTTTTATTTTTTTTTTTATAGAATGCAGACCATCTCTTTTAAAAATGAATCATCCCCAAAACATATTAAGTGAATGAAGTCAGACATAAAAGGCCAAATATTGAGTTATACGTTACTCAGTATAGTCAAATTCAGAGAGACAGAAAGAATAGTGGTCACCAGGGGCTGGAGTGGGTGAGGGGGAACAGGATTGTTTAAATGGGTACAGAGTTTCAGATTGGGATGATGGAGAAGTTTTTTTTTTTTTTTTAACTGCTTTATTGAAATGAAATTCACATACAATTCACCCAAAGTGTGCAATTGAATGGCTTTTAGTACATTCACAGATACGTGCAACCATCACCACAGTCAATTTCCAACCATTTTCATCATCTCAAAAAGAAACCCGGTACCCAGTGCTATTACCCCCTATCTCCCCATACCCTTCCAGCCCCAAGAAACCATTAACTACTTTGTATCTATGGATTTCCCTATTCTGGACTTCCATATGAATGAAATCGTATTTTTGTGTGTGACTGGTTTCTTTAACTTAGCATGTCTTCAAAGTTCATCCACGTATCAGTATTCCATTCCTTTTTATAACCAAATATTGTTCCATTGTATGAATATACCCCACATCTCATGTATCCCTTCATCTGCTGATGGGACAAGTTTGGTTGTTTCTTAAGACTATTATGAATAATGCTGCTATAAAAATTCATGTACAAGTTTCTGTGTGGACACATGCTCCATTTCTCTTGGATATATACCTAGGAGTGGAATTTCTGGGTCAAGTGGTTAACTCTGCTTAATCATTTCAGAAACTGACAGTTTTTCAAAGCAGTCGCACCATTTCACATTCACACCAGCAGTGTATGAGGGTTCCAATTTCTCCCCATCCTGGCCAATATTTGATTATCTAACTTTTTATTTCCAGCCATCCTAGTGGATGGGAAGTTGTAGCTCACTATGATTTTGGTTTGCACTTCCCTAATGACTAACAATGTCAAGCACTTTTCACATGTTTATTGGACATTTTTGTCTTCTTTGGAGAAATGTCTATTCAGATCCTTTGTCCATTTTTAAATTGCCTATTACAGAGTTTTAAGAATATATATTCTAGATACAAGTCCTTTATCAGGTATATGATTTACATATATTTTCTCCCATCCTGTGGGTTTTCATTTTTGATGGTGTCCTTTGAAACGCAAAGCTTTCTAGTTTTGATTAAGTCCAATTTATCTTTTTTTCCTTTTGTTGTTCATGCTTTTTGGTGCCATACCTAAGAATCCCTAGCTAAGCCCAAAGCTATGACAGTTTTACCCCTGTTTTCTTCTAAGAGCTTTACAGTTTTAGTTACTACTTTTAGGTCTTTTTTTTTTTTTAATATTTTATTTATTTATTTGACAGGGAGAGAGATAGCGAGAGCAGGAAAACAAGCAGGGAGAGTGGGAGAGGGAGAAGCAGGCTTCCCGCCGAGCAGGGAGCTCGATGCGGGGCTAAATCCCAGGACCCCGGGATCATGACCTAAGCCGAAGGCAGACGCCCAACAACTGAGCCACCCAGGTGCCTACTTTTAGGTCTCTGACCTATTTTGATTTTTTAATATAATGTGAAGTAAAGATTGAGCTCATTCTTTTGGCTATCCAGTTGTCCCAGTACCACCGTTGAAAAGACTATTCTTTCCCCGCTGGTTTTGGCACCCTTGTCAAAAATCAGTTGACCACAGATGTGTGAGTTTATTTCTGGACTCTCCGTTCTACTCCATTGGTATGTGTCTATCCTTGTGCCAACAGCACACTGTGTTGATTACCATTGCTTTGTAGTAAGTTTTGAAATCGGGAAGTTTGAGTCCTCCTTTCTTTTTCAGGACTGTTTTCTTATTATGAGTCCACTGCAATTTCATGTGATTTTTAGAATTACCTAGTCAATTTCCACAAAGAAGTCGGCTGGGATTCTGATAGGGACAGCACTGAGTCTTGAGATCATTTGGGAGTACTGCCATCTTAATGATGTTAAGTATTCTGCTCCATGAACATGAGATGCTTTTCCATTTATTTAGATCTTCCTTCTTTCAACAGTGTTTTGTAGTTTTCACAGTATAGTTTTGCACTTTTGTTAAATTTGCTCCTAAGTACTCTTTTTCCCCCAAGTATTTTTTTTATGTTACTGTGAACAGGATTGTTTTCTTAACTTCATTTTTGGATCATTCATTCCAAATGTATAGAAATACAATGGATTTTTGTAAATTCATCTTATGTCCTTAGAATTTCCTATACAAAAATCATGCCATCTGCAAATACGGCTTTATTTCTTCCTTTCCAATCTCAGTGCCTTTTATTTCTTTTTCTTGCCTAACTTTCCTGGCCAGAACCTCCAACACAATGTTGACTAGAAGTAGTGAGAGCTGATATCCTTGTGTTGTTCCTGATCTTCAGGGAAAAGTACCCAGACTTTCACCATTAAGTATATTGTTAGCTGTAGGTTTTTCATAGATGCACTTTATCAGGTTGAGGATGTTCCCTTCTCTTCCAGCCATTGGTACTTTAACATTCCCAAAGTGAACTCACCTTTGCTTTACCTTTGTCAAACTCAAACTTCTCCTATTTCTTATCTCTTAGTTGACACCACTGTTCTGTCTTAGGCTGGATTCCCATCTCCCCAGCCAGTTCTTTTGGAGGATGGCCCAAATCCTGTAGCTGCTGCATAAGATCCAGCACTAACTCAAAACGAGCCTTCTGAGTGGCCTCACTGTCTGTGGGGCTCTCTGCCTCGAACTGCTCACATATCTTGCCCATGACACTATGTTGTTCCTGATATTTTTCAAACTGCTCTGGAGGAAGAGACTCCCAGTGACTCTGCAACCACTCCGGATACTTTTCGGTAATCTCCTTCAGTGATGGGTACAGCACATCCTTGGACAGGAGGTTCTGCATGATGCTCTGCATAATGGGGAGAATGTTCCCTTCCCCATGGGCCAGCCCTTCCATGGCCTTGGTCAGTTCCTCCTCTGACATGCCTGAGTTCTGAAGATCAGTGGCATTTTTGGCGAGTCCACTTAGTGTCTCCTTCAGGCAAGACGTAAATTCTTGTTGGGAGGTTGCGTCACTGCCCACTCTCCCGGCAGCTTCTGAGAGCTTCTGGAACTGCTCCACCAGGTGGGGCTCTTCCTCAGCCAACTCCTTCATCGCCTTCTCGAACTCCGCAGTGGCTTGGGAAGCCAGCTCGCTGTCGAACAGTTCCTGGAAAAACTTCTCTTGGGAGGCAAAGAGGGCATCTTTGGCAGTGTCTCCTGGCGATCTCTTCTGGGGCCCCGAAGCATCAGGGGCCGTGGTGGTAGGAGGGGGTGCTGGGGAGGGTTTGGCCTTATCGAAATCATCAAGAGCACTTTCCAGGAGCTCTTCCAATTCCTGGTCAGCGTCGGCCCCAGCACCACAGTCCTCCTCAGCGGTGGCCATCTTGCTCCTAAGTTTTTTTTTCTTTTTTTTTTAAAGATTTCTTTATTTATTTGAGAGAGACAGAGTGAGAGAGAGGCAGAAAGAGAGGGAGAGAGAGAATCTCAAGCAGACTCCCCACTGAGCCAGGAGCCAGATGCAGGGCTCGATCCCACAACCCTGAGATCATGACCTGAGCCGAAATCAAGAGTCGGATGCTCGACTGACTAAACCACCCAGGGGCCCCAGATAATGGAAAAGTTCTCAAAATGGCTAGTGGTGATGATTACACAACAATGTAAATGCAGTTAATGTCACTGAAATGTACTCTTAAAAATGGTTAAGATGGCAAACTTTATGTTACATATATTTCATCATGACAAAAAAAGAGTCGTACCACTCACTGTATCTCCTCCTGGCAGGACTGATATGTTAGTAGCTATGTTTCAGGGATCTCACTAATTATTCTATGTTGCTTGAAATTCCTTTTTTGAAATGGGCAACCTATGAGCATTTATTAAAGATGGGTCAGACCCTATCATTCACTTCGATCCAGGTAAATAATTGGTCCTTTTTGCTTAGTAGCATTTCACAAATCATATTCTCCTGAAACTTAGATGCACAAGGTGTTAATAAATATCATTGAAAATAACTGAAGGAATTTTAAAGCTTGAGAAACTGTGAGTTAAAATTACTAAGAATCTTTCTGACTATCAGAGTTCTCAGAAATTTTAGTGTACTAATGTGCATAAAGACTATTCAAGAAGGGAGCATAGTATGCATATTTCCCCCAAGTTTCTGACCACAGTTCTGTCTAATAACAGAAAATCTCTTAGGGCTAGAATTACTCAGATAACGGTTTGGGGAATAAGGGCTTGCAGAATAAAATCCAACAATTTAGTATGGTTTCCAACATCTTCCTTGATGATTTCAACCAAAATTCCAACTTTCTACATTTTCCCCCTCTCGCATAGTACGTAGCCGTGTTATACTTCTTGATGAGTGTAATTTGCACTCTTGGCACACCACACACTTGCTCAGACTCAGTCTAATATGCACTCCTCTCGTGCTTATCCTCCTGAGACACTTGATTTTGTTCACTTTGAAGTTTTTCCTGGTCTTTTAAACGTAAAGGGATTGCCTTCGTCTGTAATCACTATAGCAAATGTCTACTTTTTTTTTTTTTGGAGCTTTCGTGAATACATTAGCTAATTACATGCTCAATTATGGCATTTTTTTAAAAAAGATTTTATTTATTTATTTGAGAGAGAGAGAATGGGAGACAGAGAGCATGAGAGGGAGGAGGGTCAGAGGGAGAAGCAGACTCCCCGCCGAGCAGGGAGCCCGATGTGGGACTCGATCCCGGGACTCCAGGATCATGACCTGAGCCGAAGGCAGTCGCTTAACCAACTGAGCCACCCAGGCGCCCCAATTATGGCATTTTACCTTTATTATTGCCAGTTGTTCTCAAGTCTCTCTTATGTACTAAATGTTAAGTTTCATGAGTGCAAGGTAAGGCTATGTCTTATTCATCTTTGTGTTTTCCACAGCCTGTTGTTATTCACGTCAAATAGGTTTTCAATATGTGTATATTTGCAAACTTGGATTTAATGGCTAAGCAGTACCTATGATGTATAGAGCTCTGGACCAGGTTTAACTGGTAGGATTAAAAAATATTAGTCACAGTTTCTGTTTGCTAGGAGATAGGAAACCAACATGTGCAGAACTGAAATAATTTTAGGAAAATTATAAAGTGAAATCACTGGTGCAAATGGTGGCATAGAAAGAGAATACATGAGTGGGGAAGCAGTGGACAGCTAAAGACTCATGTAAGTTGGCTAGGTTGAGGGATAGCACTTGAGCCGAGTTTGTTTCATTTATTTATTTATTTATTTTTAAGATTTTATTTATTTATTAGAGAGAGAGAGAGTATACAACAACGGGCAGAGGGAGAAACAGGCTCCCCGCTGAGCAAGGAGCCCGATGTGGCGCTCGATCCCAGGAGCCTGGGATCATGACCTGAGCCGAAGGCAGCCGCTTAACCGATTGAGCCACCCAGGCGTCCCTTGAGCTGACTTTTAAAGGAACTGATGGGCATGGCTTAGTGAAGCGGACCAGAAATGTTTTCTTTTGCTGTCATCCTATTTTATATTTCATCATCTTTATCAGCATCATCAAAATCACCATTCTTGTCACTATTTTGTTATCAAAAAGCTATCCACGAATTGTGCTCTCTGTTGACCTTTTCACACCCACCTAGTGTAACTGGGGCTTCTCTGGCTCGGTAAGATGTTGTCTGTAGAAGTACTCTACTTAGCATCTCATTGATGAAGTTACTTTTTCCTTTGATCCTGAGGATGGTGCATAAAGGACAAAGGGAAATGATAGAGGTGTTTTAATACTCTAGCACGTCATAGTATATCAACCACATGATGTAAACTATTGTTTTATGTATCTTGACCTGAAGCTTAATGCCAGTTGCCACCATATTCTGGTGGCAAAAGGACTCATAGGCTTTTTCTGCTTTGGTATTATTTACTTAAATAATTATTTTTTTTTAAAGATTTTATTTATTTTTATTTTAGAGAGAGAGAGAGCATGCGAGTGGGGGGGCAGAGAAAGAGGGAGAGAGAGAGAGAGAATCTGAAGTAGACTCCACTCTGAGTGTGGAGCCCGACTACACAGGATTTGATCTCATGACCCTGAGATTGTGACCTGAGCTGAAATCAAGAGTCAGATGCTTAACTAATTGAGTCTTAGGTGCCCCTACTTAAATAATTCTGATTTTTAAGACTCCATGGAAGTTTTCACAAGTCTTGCTTTATGGAAACCCACTGAAGGGGATGTTGCCTAAATGACTGCTGGCCCTTATCATTACATGGCAATGACTTGGCCTTCGCAGGTACCATGGACATCCCTGTCATTGCTGACAAATGGGAAGGGGCAGGTCATCGTGATCAGCTGTGCCACAGGCTGTCAATAGCAGGGGCAGACAGATTTTGGCAGCTCTAGTGATGAAAATTCAAAAGGAAAAAAATATTGAAAAATTTAAAGTGCCTAGTTGGTTGAATTGTGTCACAGAAATAATGGGAACATTTAGATCAGGTAGAAGTGGTTCCCAGAGACCTAGCTGCATTTAGAGGATTGGCCATCTCATTCTACAAACGTCCCACAGCCTACCTTCTCCAAACCTGGCATGTGGTTCACTTACTAGGTGAAAGGCCAGGTGTGCCTGCTTTTGTGAGCATTCAGCATAAGAGAGAAGGCCAGCTCTCCTTAAGATTACAAACCACTAACATTTCCTTTCACTGGGATACTTCTTTCGAATGAGATAGTAAGTTTTACATTGAACCAAATAGTGAATGGGAAGGTGCATTAGAAGTTAATCTCCAGCAGCAATAACGGGAAGGATATTTTATGTGTTATGACATGCTTCCAGCACTCCATTATATATGCGAATGCTCTCATTTTCATTATTTGAGGCAATTTCTGGCATTGGAATTTAGATCATACTTGCATTTGGTTTATAAAACAGATTTCCCATTATCATTTAATAGAGGTGTGAGAGATGGAAGAAGCACTGGCAAAAATGTTAAGCATGAACGAGGGGCAGTTATGGTGGGCGGGTGTGGTTGCAGGAGTGGAAAGAGGGACATGGTAGTAAGGCCTGCCCGAGAATAAACATCATTCCGTTGCTAGAATTTCTACTACCACAGGAGCAAATGTCAATGCCTCATTTCAGACGAGAAGCTCTGGAGTACACTGATGTGCAAATTCATAGAGGAGAGAAAAGGACTGTAAGGAAGTGCCTGTAAGCAAAATGATCATCCTTAAGGGAATCTGGCACTTCCGTTTTGTCGTCCATGTAAATAATGTTAGAAATAGCTCTAACTTCAGGGGCTCAGTTGGTTAAGCGGCCAACTCTTGATTTCATCTGAGATCATGATCTCAGGGTCCTGGGATCAAGCATTGGGCTCTGTGCTGGGTGTGGTGTGGAGCCTGCTTGCGGTCCTCTCTCTCCCTCTGCTCCTCCTTGCTCCCAACCTGCACTCTTTCTCAAAAAAAAAAAAAAAAAAAAAAAAAAGAAAGAAAGAAAAGAAAAAGAAAAAGAATAACTCTAACTTCAGACACTTACATTTCAGTCTATTCTCCATACTTAGGAACTGAGATTATACCTTGAGATATTTTTTGTTGAGTTTTTCTTTCCACCAACTTATTTCCCCTTAGTTAATCAGAGACTTCCTTATTGCTCCAAGTAGGAATATTATAAAAGGAATAAAAAGAACTAGAAAGTCAGTGTTCAGGGTGCCTGGGTGGCTTAGTCAGCTAAGCGTCTGCCTTCAGCTCAGGTCATGATCCCAGGGTCCTGGGATGGAGCCTCACATTGGGCTCCTTGCTCAGCAGGGAGCATTCTTCTCTCTCTGCCTGCCGCTTCCCCTGCTTATGCAGTCTCTCTCTTTCTCTTTCTCTCCCTGATAAATAAATAAATAGAATCTTAAAAAAAAAGAGTCAGTATTGAGTTTCCTTGACTTTCAATATCGGGCACTGAGATTCAAAAGGGAAAGCCTAAAGCATGTGAGGAACGATTTACACCATGGAAATAGAATGAATGAGGAAGTAGAAAATGATGTTATGCTCGAGTAAGGGTCATCTCTACCCTTCCCCCTGGCGGGGAGCTGGAGGAATGACTCACAGTTACTTCAGGAGATTTTGAATAAAGACTTGGCCAATGCTGGAAACCAAACCAATGCCCTGAAGACTACTGACTGCTGAGGGAGTCTTGCCTGCTGCCTGGATGAAGGAGCTCTGACAGTGGCCTTTCTTGTCCCTGAGGGTCCTTTTAATATTACCTGTCTACATATTACTCTCTTGCCAATTTGCAGAAGGATTTCAAGCTGTGCCTAAACTGCCACATGTGGATAGATACCATCATACCCCCACCCCTTTAAATAACCCCTCACAAATTCCCAAGGTGAGTTATATGCCTAAGGGAATACAGCCAGTAAGTCTATTGCTAGGATTCAC